ACACCAGGGGCTCTGCCACCAAGGAGTTGTTTAACTGCCAAACTTAAAATAGAAAATATTATCCTTACTTACCAACTACACTCATTTTTTTCTGACAACTATTTACTTTTAAGCCTGTAAACTAACAAATATTTCAAGAGTAAGACCTATTTTAATATTTAACCTCCTAAGACCCAAACTCTTTCATGGCATGCATTTTTAATTTCTCTTTGATATTTGGGATGATTGGGACCTGATGAATGTAAAAACAAAGAATTACCAGATTTTTTTAATTTATTTTTTTACCTGATTTTTGTTTCTAAGAAAAATGAGAGCCACATATGAGGATATTCGTTTAAAATTTCGATAGAACAGTGGCAGTATAATGTCCTCGTGAGGGGATATTAGGCCCTTGTAGAGCAAGATTTAGTATTTTGGTCTAAATGACCCAAAATGTGATGTCCACATATGTGGACGCCAGGTCCTAGAAGGTTAAAGACACAGACTATTTTACATGCTTTTGTCTCTTAACATCTAGATTACTACAATGACTGTTTTACTTCCTAACCTACTGAATGACTGCAGACTATACAGAACTCAGGTGCCATGATTTTAACTTGAGCAAAGTGATGGGATCACATCAGTATGTGTTGTAATTGATTTTAAGATTGTACTGATTATTTTTGCTATGTGTTGGAATTGATTTTAAGATTGTACTGATTATTTTTGCAGCACCACTTCTGAAGGGGACACTGCAGTCTGCAGACACTGCAGTCTTTAATTTGAATTATATTTTTTTATCTCATACATTTCTTACTTGCGTTTCATTTACCCCATCTCGTAAAGCAGTTTGTAATCTGAAAAAGGTCCATATTTATTATTATTTATGAAAAATGATTTATTTATGTAAATAATTATATTTTCTTGTACGTTACAAAAAAGTAACACATTACAGAAAATTTAAAGAAAACTTTTACATTTATTTGGTAGAACTGGATTTAATACTGCATTAACATGTGGTTAAACTTGAGAGTTGTGGGTTTCTAGTAACAAACCATCAGCCATCCTTGAAATCACATATTTGTTGCAGAGGATTTTTTTATGTAGAACAAATGCTTTTACTTTTGTTTACTTTAAGTACAGTTTAATAATAATATTAAATAATAATATTTTATATATATATATATATATATATATATAGTGGGATCACTGCTTTGGTAGTTTTGCTCATCTTTCTTCTTCTGCCACTTGTGTGTAACCAATGTGAGTAACCAACACAATATCTGTTACCATCAAAAGCATCTGAAACCCATTCAGGATTTGTTTTACAGTGTAAGATGATTACAGCATTGTGTCATAGGAGCAATTATCTGTGTATTTATTACAAGTTGTCAAAATAAATAAAAAATGAACCCTCTCCAACTACGAAGCATTACAAATGTTATTAAACATACAAGTTTCTCAGTTTCTTGTCCAAGTGATATTCTATATTCCCACCCAGAGGGGTTATCTGTAACAGTGGGGATTTTCTCTGCTTTACATGTCTGCAGAGTACAGAACCAATTTCTCACAAGCTTCCCAGCGTATCTTCTTTCCTCCAAATCTAAATCCTTGCCTTCTCTTGTGCCCTGGTTTTATACTTTTCTAGTGTGATTATATGTCAGTAACCATTATAGTTGTTGTTCAAAGGAGCCATTAAAGCTGCACACAAATCCTTGTTGGAGCTCACTGTCATGATAATCCTGTGTGGTCTGTGAAACATACCCTGCTAAAGATGGTGACACTACAGTTGATTTCAGCCCCCTGTTCTGGGAGCAATGTATCGATGCATCAGGCAAGTTCCTTTCACAGTAAAATTTACATATTTTACAGTAGTAGTGCTTCTGTTAAGCTTATTAAACGAAATGGGTTTGATACCTAATCTTAGTCTTTATAAAGATAAACATTAAGTATTAAGATTAACTATTAAATATTAAGATTAAGCCACACATGTCCAGTGTTTGAGACATTGGTGGCTAAAGCTGACCCATTAACCTCTGGACATGTAACCATCATGTTCTCTGTTTTCTGTATATTATTATAGGGGCTTTACCTTGCAATATAAAATGTGCTGAGGCAACTGTTGTTGTAATTTGGTGCTATATAAATAAAACTGATTCGAACTGAATCATTCTACTTGCATAATTCACTGATGACTTTGCAGTCAAGGTCATTGCAGGAAAAAAATATAACAATACAATGACTAAGGAGTGGAAGAATGGCCTGTGAATTTTTTCTAAACAAGTTTCCTCTGAGGTAAAAATCAGGACAGCGTGACACTGGATAGAGTGACAAATGTTTTCTTTCACCTTGGGCTCTTTAGCAGAACACTAAGCTCCTTTTCTTCTATATTACTAGTGAACAATGGGTGTTCTCAGTAGAGTTGTAACAGTTGTGGCCTATAGGTATCTAGTGTACAGGCAATGCAGTTCTATCGAGATTGAAATAAGTCTGACATGCAAGGGGAACTAACAGCAAGTTTTTAATAGGCTGTTGTGGCAAGATCATCTTTCAAGCATTCATTGTGCATAATTCTCAAAAGATAAAGCCACTCTTGAAGCATGTATGTTTAGTCTTTTTGGTTTTTAGCTTTTGGTTTTAATTCTGATTCTTGAATTATTTGCAAATCGATGGAGGATCTCAGTTATTAAATCTATGCATTGGCCTGGGTTCTGCTTTGTAAAATGCATTTGCTCTGCATGTGTTTCAGGCACTTTTTTATTAGAAACATTAGCTGCAATATGATAATGAAAAACCTGCAGGTCTTCAGTAATGTTTTCAAAAGTAATTAATTACTTAGTTACTTAGTTACTTTTTAAAAACACGATTTACAACCTGAATAGGTGATGAAGCGATAGATCTTTCAGCCCAATTCTACTTTTTCTGCATAATCCATCATATAAAATGTAATCAAATGGAAAAGTCCCTTTTAAAAACTTGTTTTATTAGTTTTAATCTTTTAACTTTATGCATCAAGCAAAAATGTAATTATATGCAACATTTTCTGACTGGAAGAAATTTGTTTAATATTTAAACCTATTTTCTGCGCATTCCAGCACATAATATATATATATAGTGTTTACACTCAGTCTTGCAAATAGATGCAAGTAAAACACAGCAGAAAATAAATAAAATCAAGGACTCAGCGGTCCTGTTGCTCTATTTTCACCTGTAAAGCAGGAGTAGGAGTAGGCGGAGGTTTTCCCTGGTGCAGGTGTGCCGCAGCTGTCAGTGGAAGAATACGGCAGTTTCTCTGTGAGTTTCCCATTACGTCGTAGCGCACTCAGTGCTTGCTTTGAAGTTTAGGGGTTTTTTTTTCGCTGTAAAAAGAAGTTTTCTTCCCACGCAGTGAACAGCGGATGCTAATGTTTTTGTCACTTTTTATGGAATCAAACTTTTTATGGAATCAAAGTAAGGTCAGTACTTCCACGCTTTAAACGCTGCACGCTCATACTCTCTCCCGCACTCCATATATTATCCATTGTTGATCTGCACACAGCTGTTGTCACAAACTTGTTCTCGCAAAAAAATCACGGTTTTAGGAACGCAGTAACGCAGAGTTCCTACGGGAAAGTAACGGTAATCTAATTACCGTTTTTGCAATAGTAATCCCTTACTTTACTCGTTACTTGAAAAAAGTAATCAGATTACAGTACGCGTTACTGCCCATCTCTAGTGGTATGTATCCTGAATACTATATAAGTCATATATCTCAAATACTGTGACAAGCACCTGCTCAGGTATCACCAAGGCAAGACCCTCTTCTGGTTGTTGCATAGGTCTCTGCCTAAAATAAACAATTATATGCAGTACTGTGAAAAAGGATTCAGTCAATTGTCATTTTTTAAAAATTCAGTAATGTGGAAATGGGAAATGGGTGCAATGATACATTTATTGTTAAGTAGTCTTCAAGAATAGTTCTCCAGGCTTCTTGAAGCTCAAAGATTTTCTTTGGATGTTGGTTGCCTGTTGGTCAGCTCCATGTCAAGATGCCACTGATTTTTCCTTCCTTGAGAATGGTTTCTTGACAGCCAGAATTCGACTGAGACCATTTCCGATGAGGCTTCAGTGAACAGTAGATGAATGCGCTAAAGGGCCAGATGCATCTCTCAGGTCCTATGTCAGGTCGTTGCTGTATTTATCCAATTTCTTAAGGACATTATTTTCAGATTTTGTTCATGTGCTGTAGATAATTTTTTAGGCCTACCACTTCTTTTTTTGTCCTCCTCTGATTTTTTAAGGACTGCATACTGTGATATACCAGGCATGATACAATTTAAAATTGGCTCTCCGATAAGTTATCTACTATTATCATAGGTCAGTGAAATTAAAAGAAAAACAACCCAACCCTAACCCAGAAAACTGCTCAAGACCACTTAAAAAGAAATTACAAAAGCGTCTGGCTTCTCTAAAGAAATGAAGTGTGGCTCCCGACCTTTCCACATGATTGTAGACCTTATTATAAACATTGGAATCATCTAGCAGAAAAACAGCAACTTATTTACACATTTTTCACATAAAATAATAAAAATAACTGTTGCTACTGTTGTTTTACTCTTTTTACAGGAACTGCCATTATGGCTCTTTACTGTTGTCTCCCCCTGCTGGTGATGCTTTTGCAGCCTGTTCAGTGCCTCTATAACTGCTCCTCTGAATATCAAAGGACCCCGGGTACGTTTTGTGTGACTTTCAACAAATAAAATATCAGTGCTATTAAGAAAACAAAAATAATGCTCTTTTTAAAACTTTTTGACCAATTTTGGTATATATTTATTTAGCTGTACAAGATTTAGGCTTTAAACATGGCAGCCACTAAATCATAATCATTTAACCTTTTAATTAAAAAAAATCACAGTATTAATATATAAAATTAAACAACTATTTAACTCCCAGGGTTTTTAAAATGTCTTTCTTTCGCAGAAAACTCAGACCTAATGGTTCAATGTGGCACCAGCATGATTACCCTGGACATCAATCTATGCACAGTTCAGTGGGCTGGCTTCAATGCCACAGAGCTAGCACTGAATGGGCAGTATAGTAATACAGCGTGCCAGGGCTCTGTGGACACCAGTGTGAACCCTCCGGTCGTCCATTTCCAGCTTCCTGTCAACCAGAGTCAGGATAACTCCTGTCGCCAGTCTCTGCAGGTTATTGGATATTGGAGAATGGAGAGATTGGCAAAAAATGACACATATCTGGAAAATGGAGCTGCCAGATGTTAGTTATCTGGCTGCTTTTTGGGAAACTGTTTAGCAGCATATATGAACCACAATCGTATCTCTTTCTATCTTTCTTAGATTGTAGATGAAAAGCCAGACCCTACAGGTCCCTTCAGCAGCTTCTTGAGTATCCAGGCAGTTATTACAGGATACATTAACACACCTAGATCTGACCAGGGGCTGATCAGCTACTCCACAGATCTCTATTACCACTTCTCCTGCCGATATCCACTGCAATACCTTTTGAACAATACACAGATTACAGCGTGAGGAACCAGATATACAGGGTGGGCCATTTATATGGATACACCGTAATAAAATGGGAATGGTTGGTGATATTAAAGTTCTGTTTGTGGCACATTAGTATATGTGAGGGGGCAAACTCCTCAAGATGGGTGGTGACCATGGTGGCCATTTAGAAGTCGGCCATCTTGGATACAACTTTTGTTTTTTCAATAGGAAGAGGGCCATGTGACACATCAAACTTATTGGTAATGTCACAAGAATAACAACAACATGGTGTGCTTGGTTTCAACGTAACTTTATTCTTTCATTCAGTTTCTGACCACTTATAAAATGTGTTCAATGTGCTGCCCATTGTGTTGGATTGTCAATGCAACCCTCTTCTCCCACTCTTCACACACTGATAGCAACACCGCAGGAGAAATGCCAGCACAGGCATCCAGTATTCGTAGTTTCAGGTGCTGCACATCTCGTATCTTCACATGATAGACAATTGCCTTCAGATGAGCCCAAAGATAAAAATCTAAGGGGGTCAGATTGGGAGACCTTGGGGGCCATTCAACTGGCCAACAACGACCAATCCACTTTCCAGGAAACTGTTCATCTAGGAATGCTTGGACCTGGCACCCATAATGTGGTGGTGCACCATCTTGCTGGAAAAACTAGCGTTGGTTTTGTTTGTTAACTTCAACATTCACATAAAAGTTTG